GGGGGGGGGGGGGGGGAGGGGAGGGAGGAGGGGTTAAAAGCTGTATAAAACTGAATACAATTTTCAAAGTCACATTACTACTCCTAAAGAAGTGATCTAGCATCAATTTAGTGCTTTAAAACTATATTTAAAATCAATTCAATAACAAATAATTATCAAAGAACCAATATGATATGAGTCATTAATCAGAATAAACAGTTAATGAGTTTCTATCTAATGTGGTCCCTCTGTGGATGCCATGAGGTACACCAACATTCGGATTCCAAAGTGTTGTTAGCTACAAATCGCCTTTAGATTGTCTGTGGTTGGTCCCTCCCTAATGTGCTCCAAAGGAAGGAACAGGTTAGTCTTAGGTAGCCTGGCAAAATATCCAAATTGGGCAGAGCTAGAACAAATATTAAAAGATCCAATCACCTGAGTAGAACCTTCTGTTCAAGCAATGGTCCTGACCAGGGCTGCTGAATTCTTCCAATCTAGGCATGAATATGACTATCCAAAAGCTGGAGCTATTGCAGATTTGATTTTTATATCAGAAGCAGGGGGTGTAAGCTTTGCTTGTGAAAATAAGCACCTGGTTAATGCTATACCAAGGAGCAAGCCCTGGAGATAGGACCTATTTTACCGTCCTCGAAGAAAGAAACAGATAAAATAATAAAAGGGCAAGTTGGCCCTTTTGGCCAATGAATCCAGGCTAACAGCGTCATGAGAAGCCCTTCTTATCCACACTGATGTCCACTTTATATGGGGTGGCAGAAGGGTCTGCCCCATATCCCTTTCTCACTGTAGAGGCCACTGAGAAGAAACTTCACTCAGTACGTTAGCAAAGGGAGATGGTGGGGAGCTAACTCACTGAAAGTAGTCTGCAAAATGTTTTCAAGCAGTTTACTTCCTTGGCAGGTAAGGCACTATTCTGGGGGGACAACACACTCAACAATAATGAAAGAAAAACAACTTTATGTGGCTAGTTTGAATATGGCCCTTCCATGTGCTCTGCCAGTCTCTGGGATTCCACCAGATGGCACTCTTGGCTAACACATCATTTTTGCACACAGCAGTAGAAAAGCTAAATCCAAACTCTACTGTGACATAAAAGTCCTTATTTATTTGATTGATCGGCCTCTATAAAGTGCCAACTACTGCATGTTGTACAACCTATGTAGTTAGTTTAAGAATCAATGGTGGGTTCACACGATACATAAATTACAAATGATCCAATCCCAGTTTAGCCTATTCTGATGTGTTGTGCAAACTTGGTTGAGTAAAGCACGCAATAGTAGCAGGGTAGTGATGATAATAATGATCAAACTGCGAAATGTTATAATCATGTGTGTCAAGCTTCATTACCACCAAGGAATATCCAGTAATAACTATGCTATTGTATTGTCTGGGGTGCAAATTCAGTGCATCTCCTTCAACTTTGTAGTCTTAGCCTTATATGACATGGAAAAAGGAGAGAATTTAAATCATTATGTATAATGACATAA